GCCAGTCGGACTCCGACCAAGAAGATCTTCACCGAGCTTTACAGGCCGTGGCTGGGTGGCTCAAGCTGAGCCGGCTGAAGCTGAACCCGGCGAAGACGGAGGTCCTGTGCCTTGGTCGGGGTGGTATGGGACGAGTTCTCTCAGAGCTGTCCTCAAAAGAGCAGTCCTCGAAAGAGCTCTCTCGGCCGCTCCTACCTCACAGGGTGTCTGTTGTGGGGAGGGGAAGGGAAAGGAGTTTGTAAGCTGCTCCAATTGCCGCCTCCTCCTCCTCCAGGGCATGCACCACAATGGCAAGTTCTTTTCTGCCCAGGTAGGATTGCAGCTGGCTCAGCAGCCAAAAATGATGAAAGGCACCCCTGGCCACCTTGGCCACCTGTTTATCCAACAGAAGCCCCAGGTCCAGGAGTATCCTCAGGCTAAGAACCTGCTCCTTTAATGGGAGCGCTACCCTTTCCAGACCAGGAAATAACACAGTGTCCTTCGACCTTCAACATTTCTTCCAGTGGACTTCAACCTGGGTATGTAAGGTAATCAGATCTGCAGCACACTAACTACCACTTTGCAAGATCCAGTTAAGCTGGGTGCAAAGAGAGAAAAGCTAAACTATTGGAGAAAGTGACCCTGTTAGCAGGCTGCAGGCCGGCAATTACTGTCACGGCTCTCAGCACGCTGTCTAGTCTTATCTTGCTCAAGTGCTGGGTTGGCTGAGGGGTTTAGCACGATCTGTGAGGCAGGTTTGCTTCAGCCTCCTAGATCGGCAAGTCTGGTGGATTGTTGGAGTGCCTTTATTGTGATCGGACGTCCCTTTGCCCCTAGTGGCTGTGGCCAGAACTGCATTAAAAATAAACTGGGCAGCAAGTCCAGTGGCGAGCTGGACTCGGGTTCTTCCGGAGAGGACTCTCTGTCTGAGAAAGGGGCAGCAGTTCCTAAAAGTCCTTATAAGTTGCGGAAGAGACTGGACAAGAAGAAGTGAAGGCTGAAGGACTTTGAATTGTGCCTTTGAAAAATTTTGAATTGAGATGCTTTGGGGTATTTCCTTATATCAGTTAAATTTCAGATGTGGGAAACGTTAACAAACTATGTGACTCAGTTTGTAATGAGATTAATATGATCAAGACTAGATGTGTATTTAAGCTGATTAGAAGATCTCCTCTCTTGGGTTTTTAGTCAGTAGTGGGTATCTTTTCTTTATCCCCTTAAATGTAGTCCCCTTCCTTATTTCTGTTATAGTTTGTAGTTGTAATAAAAATGCAATTAAAAATTCCCCATTGGGGAGGAAAAAAAATAAACGGAAAAAGCCCTGACCTCGATAGCCCAGGTGTTGTGTAGTGGGTTTGACACATCGAATGATGAGGAAACATAGTGATATTCAGCTCATGTTTACACACAGGGCTATTCTTGGGCAGGAACGCATTAGCATAATAGGCCACACCCAACAGCAGGAACTCATTAGGACTGGCTACATTAGGGGTGTGTGGCCTAACATGCAAAGACGTTCCTGCTACTAAAAAAGCCCTGGGTTTTGACAACAAACAAGGTAAACAGAATAAGAAGCAAAAGGTGGGAGTGTCTGGATGACCACACTTCTGGTAACATGGGGGTGTGGCCTAATGTGCTAATGAGCTGTGCTGTCAGGGGTGTGTCCTAATAAGCAAATGAATATCTGCTGTTGGGTGTGGCCTATTATGCTAATGAGTTCCTGCTGGGCTTTTTCTACAAAAAAAGCCCTGATACTACATATTATTAGGCAGGCTTAGTACAAACTTTGATTTATCAGTTACAAATCATAAGGAAGGAGACTGCAAAACCTTCAGAAACCTTCTAGTTGCTTCCAGTTTGGTGCAGAGCCAGTTTGGTGCAGTGGTTAGGAGTGTGGACTCTAATCTGAGAGAACTGGGTTTGATTCCCCACTCCTCCACTTGCACCTGCTGATGTGACCTTGGGTCAGTCACAAGCTCGGGCACAGCTGTCCTTGAAAAAGGGCAGTTCGTGTCAGAGTTCTCTCAGCCCCACCCACCCCACAGGGTGTCTGTTGTGGGGAGGGGGAGGGAAAGGAGTTTGTAAGCCACTCTGAGACTCCAAGTGAAGGGTGGGGTATAAATCCAATCTCTTCTTCTTCTTCCAAGCATGTTGCCGAGAGGCAATGTTTTGTGTTTGTTTTCGGACAGAGCTGGCACCGTAAGCGCAATCCTGCCTTCCAAGAGGCCCGATAAAAATACTTTTAAGTTTTAAAAAAAAGTTTCCCAAGGCGCTCAATTAAAAAGTGTTGAAATCTTTCACTTTAGTCTGAGATGCATATTTATGCCATTTGTGTATAATGTTCAACCGAAACTCTGTTAATTTTTCTATTCATGTAAAACATTTATTAAGCAGACTTTCTATCTTGCGGAACTCAAAGAAGCGTTGGGAGGGGGTATTCTTAGAAATAGCAAAGGATTTAATGGGAAGCTTCTTTGGAAGATGTTTTTTTCAACAACAACAAAAATACAAGTCCACCAATTGTCCGAGATTTGTGACCTATTTCTGGCACAAACCTAAACCGCTCTCCACTGCCTCCCCATGGGAACTTCCGTAGGCAAGCGACGGTGGTGGAAAGTCAAAGCCGACTTACGGTGACCCTGCAGGGATTTCAGGGCAACAGATGTGCTTTGTCACTGCCTGCCTGTACATAGCAGCCCTAGACTTCCTTGGCGGTCTCCCATACAAATACTAACCAGAGCTGACCCTCCTTAGCTTATGAGGTATGACTGGACTACCCTGGGCCATG